ATTACAGGCGTGTGCCACCATACCAGGTCTCAGTGCACCCGGGGGTGGGGCTGGCAGGGCAGGGTGGCGCTAGTGAGGTATGTGGTGTGGGGGATCGAAATGTGGTCTCTGCGCTTGCCTAAGGGAGCACTGAGCCCACTGAGCTGTCTCACCGGCCCTGGTTTATTGGTCGATTTTGAAGCTTCATAAATGATAAATGTGACCATATAGAAATAAAGTAAAAGTAAAAGAGATAAATAAATTTTAAGTAACAAAAGATTTTCTAAAATTGTGTATATAGTCACTATAACTTTATAAAATTATATGTTAGGCGCTTATAGTTATGCATGCATGTGTATCTGATTTATTTCACCTAATAACATGGTCTCAAGGTAAATCCATTTTCCCACAAAGGACTCAAGTTTGTCCTTCTTTATGGCAGAATGGCACCATTGTGTACAAATACCACATTTTCTCTATCCTTTCTTCTGTTGATGGTCATAGAGGCTACCAGCAAAAGCTGGCCTGGGCTAGGACTGGATCTGTGGTTTTTAAAAAGAGTTAAGATGTGTAACAATATACCAGCTCCCCAAAATGAATGTAATAATTATGTACTGTAAACATATGTATGTTATATAAATATATATGTTATATATATTGTTCTGGTTGGGCTTCTGGATGTGAAGATTGGTATTTTTCAGCAATTTGGGAAAAATACTTAAACACTGTTTCTTCAAACACTGTTTCTTTCCATGGCCTCTGCACTATTCTCGTGCTGTTTTCTAGAATTCCTGTTGTACCATTCTGTCCTCAGATCTTTCAACCTTAATTTTATATCTGGGACAAAATGTAAATGATTTATTTAAATTCTGTGGCAGTCTGTCAATTTGTCTTTTTGCTGTGTTTATTATAAACAGTGTATAGTCTTTCTCCTCCCCCCCCAATCTGGTTATGTTTGACCTTTTATTGAAAAACTTGATCCATAACATAATTTCCAATATGATATTTTATGGTTTAAATCTCTTAGTGCTATGTATTTATCATATCTGTTTTCTTTTTTGTCTTTTTCAGGTTATG